TAATAGTGCACTCCTTCTGATTGTTCATTACAAGTATGTTATATTGAAATGAGCTTTTAAAGGTATTTTAAATATCAGCTTAGACTGATTCCTGTGTCTACAGAGGTAGAAGATTGTGCTAAAAATTGTTCATAAAACCAGACTTTCTGTCTGGTTTTTACAGTTCAACCTTGGACAAGTGACTTAACCTCTCTATGCCTCACTCAGATTTGTCATCTATAAAACTGGGACCATGCCACTTATGTCATTGGCTTATTGTGAGAAATAAATGCATTAATGTATATAAGGGACTTGAAACAGTGCTTGATATACAGTAAGTGCTCAGTAAATATGAACTGGTAGTGTAATCATCATTGATATATGCTTTCAAATGTTGGAAGGAGAATGGTGCTTTTTCTCTCAGATACTTTGACCAATAATATAAAATTGAGTGAACTGTGCTTCTTTTGATCCTACCCTTGAAGACCTTGGGACCTCTCCACCTATGATTCTCCAGGTGTTCTCTGGGCACATGGGCATCTGGTATGTATCAAAAAGTGGGTGAGCCATCAGATGATATGGGGGAAGCACATAATCGGGTTTAAGGACATGTAGGGAATGGCCAATGACATTGATTAGTTCATCTTTCATTCAGCAACTAGACAGTTATGTCTTGTAGTACTAGACATTATGAGCAACACAGAGATGAGCCAAGCACAGATATCTGTCTTTATTCACTGGGTTCATAATAGAGCAAAATCTTTGCACCTGTATCCCCATCTTCCTAATTAGACTGGGACAGAGCATGGGAAGGGAGAATAAGATTACTATGGTATTTACTCATCCATGGGAGAGAAATAATTACTGCTACATATTGTAGGCTAGGATTACACAAGACCCAATTTTCATAAAGAAAAAAATACTTTGAAAAGAAAGTTTCTTCTTTGTTGTTATTTTAAAATACTTTGTATTTCTTACTTTGTAAGAATATAATATCTATACAGCATCAACTAAATGAATCAATTATTAACATTGTCATAGTTATTTTTATCATTCTCTATAGAATATAGTATCTCTTCCAATTACATGACAGTCCCACACATTGTGCCCCTCTGAATACTTTGACATGTTGACAGGAGTCTTTCAGAATGCTCAAAGTCTTGAGGTGTTTAAGGGTGGAAACAAGTTTATGATACAGCGGAGAAAAGAAAATAAAAAAAATGCTCTCAAAATAAGTACAATGGAAAAGGATGGTTTAGATAAAGGCATACTCGTTGTCATGTATAGGTATGTTTGAAAAATCCTGTGAGTTGGGAGAGAGGGATGCACACTGGCAGATTTAAGAAGAACTGAGGAACATCAAAGTCCTGGGCTGTGGATCTCATTCCTACCACAAGCAGGATGAACTCCCAGATTTACACTTGTCCTTACCATGCAGTCCCAGGACTATGCCCATTTAAATGCCATGAAAAAAAGAATTCAAGAGAACTTACCAGCCAATATGGTGAAGTCGACCTTTAAACTATCAGGTAAAACAAAGAGCTCCTGAAGCGAATTAAGATGGAATCACTTCCCAGGACTGCTTCTACTCAATTACCAACTTCATTTACTTACTAAAAATGTGCTAAATGAGAGCATGTTATAGTACTCATTAAAGAGTGTACCAAAGTAATTCTTTTAAACTGGTTCTCATGGCCCTTTAATTTTTATTTGTAAAGATGCCTTGGATTTTAGAAGAGTAGAGTTGGAAAAAGGGGTTTTAGTGACAGACCAGGCTTTCAAACCTGCTTTCAGTCTTTGTGAACTATTTTTCCTCAGCAGCTTTATCATTGAGCATGGAGGGAGGGAGGTTGACTTGGGTCCCATCATCACATTATGCAGAGCTCCTAGTGGGTTTTGTTTTTTGTCTTTTTTTTTTTTTTTTTTTAGGATTGAAGGTGATCTTGCATCTAAAGCAGCTAGCACAGGAATTGGAGCATAGAAAGGAACAATGAATGACATCTTCTTTTTGCCTATGCAAAATGTAAAACAAAATAAATTAATAAAACAATATACTTTATACAGATCCTAGTGATGTAAAAGAACCCCAGGACAGAGAGATTTTGACTTTAAGAAAGTCTTGCAAATGGTAGGAGAGAACCACCTCCCCCCCCCAAAAAAAAAAAAGTTGTTTGTTCTTATTGAGAGAAAAATATTGTGGGAGTTAATGGTAGCATTTGGAATAAAATTTAAGGGAGGACAGAATATTCCAAAAATTACAGAATAAAATGGGACTTTTATAGATGAAATGAATTTTTCTTCTTTCTTCCTTCTTCCCTCCTTCCCTCCCTCCCTCCCTTTTTCCTTCCTTCCTTCCTTCCTTCCTTCCTTCCTTCCAGGGCTGTAGATTGATACCAGGGCAAGCCTCAGGCATGCTAGATAAATGCTCTACCACTGAGCTGTATCACCAGTCCCCAATTTTTTCTCTGAAGCTTGATTTTTTTTTCAATTTTTTTCTAGTAGTCTGTTAATTGTGTCTCCCTGGTAGTCATGAGACCCTTTTCACAAACTTCCACACAGAAGTCTAGTACCCAGTGCAGTGTGTGGCACAGAGACGCAGCTCAGGGAGAACTGATAAGAAATCATTACTAGATTACAGAGAGGGTTCTGAGGAGTGTACAGGAGCTTAGTGGAATGGAATGTTCATGAGCACTCCTGAGCAGATGACTCAGGTGTGGAACCAGGGCAGCAAAGTGAAAATGAAGGGCTCTGTGGATTAAGGAGAAAACTGACTGTAACAAGCTTCTTACCTGTCTACATGTGATATATTATATGTTTAAACAACTCACCTTTACCAACCATCTACCATGTGCTAGCCATTCGCGGGTTACTAGGGATAGATCTGTGGAACTTGTGAAAGGGACTTCAGGACTCCGTTGAGGTTTGATCTGCACTTAAGGGAAATAAGAAGGTGAAATCCACTCTCCTTTGTAGACTGACCTAGTGAGGAGGTCAAGGTCAAGTGAGGAGAAAAGCACAGTCATCACAGAGTGTTCATGACATATATAAGTTTTCACTTTTATTTATTCCAAACATATACCCATTCTCTGACTATAAAGTTATATTAACTTAAGTTAAACAATTCATCTTAAATTATATGATAAATCTACATATACCCACCCCAATTTTTGTTTATTCTCCCTCATTATTGTTAAATATCTTAATTATGCATATATTATGGTATTATGATGTATTCAGAATTTAAGTGCTTAATAAAAGTAATTAAACAATATAGGAATTACAGGAAAGAATTTCTATAAGTCACCTTAATGCTGGCTGCTGTTAATATTTCACCAAACATTCTTGAGGATGTTTCTTTCTCTTCCTGTACCTGCACACACACACACCCCCCACAGAATTCCACATAAATGAAATCATACTATTCACTCCTACTTTATTTGCTTTTTACACTTAATAAGATGTTATTTTTCCATATCAAAAATGTAGCATGACCATTTTTTTAACGGACACTTAATATTTCCCTGTATGAGCATAGATTGCTCTTCAGTTAGTGAGGGCCCTACTGATGGCCATTTAAGTTGTTTTCAGGTATTGGTGTGTGTGCATGTTTTAATTTTCTAAAGAACACTGTGATGAACATCTTTGTACAGATATCTCTGGAACTTGTAACAAGTCACTCTGGGACTCATTTCTAGAAGAAAAGTTGCTCTGTTTTCATTGTCTTTTTTTCCCCCCTAAAATAATGACTTTTCTATATCATATGCTTTCCTTGCAAAAATTCATTCTAGACCCTGCACCAGGAAATAACATACAGTTTGACTTGTAGGGAACATATTCATCTTCATCACCTGTTAATAAATGATTTTCAGGAATTAAACTTTGGATTTTTCAGTGCTATTAGTGGAAATTAAAATATATAAGAAAATTTTATATATTTTATATAAAAGTTTTCTATGTTTTTTCTTAAAGTAAACATGAAATTTGGGCTGTCGTTGCGGCTCAGTGGTAAAGCACTTGCCTAGCATGTGTGAGGCACTGAGTTCAATCCTCAGAACCGCATAAAAATGAATAAATAAAATAAAAATATTGTGTCTATCTATAAATAAAAACATTTTTAAAAAATCCACAAAGTTTGGCAGATCTCGACTTGCTCCATTTTCCAGAGAAATTTGTCAATTATTCCTTGGGACTGGGGAAAGAGATGGCTTGTGTAGATAGGTTGGTTTGATATAATATGGATGGTGAGATTATAAATTTATGCAATCCATGGTTTTAGTCTTTGTTTTCTTATGGTATACCCCTGAATCATCAAGAATTATTCCAGACCTCATCCTTGGACTCCTCTTACATAATTCCCCATTTGTGTTGGTTAAATTATTCAGGACACAAAATTGACCAAACATTGATTAAGCATTGATCAAAATGATTTAAGTGAAATAAGAATATGGTACTACCTTGAACTAAGGCTCATCTTTCCTTCTCCCCTCCACATTTTTGCCTAAATATACCTGTTGTGACCCAGCAAGGTAAGGTATTCATGAAATATTCTGAAATGACTTTAGATTACATAACCCTGGAGGGATGAAGTCATTTATGATCTTATATTTAACATCACAATATAAAAAAGAGAGCCATGGAATCCATAGGGAGGCATTCAGTTTAAAATAACTTGTGATTTGCCATTAGAGACAGGAGAGCTCATAGGGACTACTTTAATTACTTTTGTTATTAGAATGACTATAACAGGATCTTTCATTTGGAGACCAACGTATATAAACTATGCTAAATCCATTCTTACTATTTTCCATCCTCAGTGTGTTTATTATTATCAGTATTAGTTGTTATAGACTGACCCCCATTAAGTGTCGAAACCCAAATTTGCATATACAAGGAGGGGAGTCCTTTGAGAGACATTTGGTTTTAGTTGAGCTCTTGATGTTGGAAAATTCAAGATGGAAATACTTTCATGACCCCAGGAGAGAAACCAGGGAGGTAACTCTCATTCTCTCTCTTTCTTCCAGGAAGACAAGACGGCCATCCATGACACAAGGACACAGCCATCCTCAGAAACTGACCCTTGATCTGGGCCTTCAGTTCCCCAGCACCAGGAGAAAACTGTCGTCTAAGCCACCCAATCTGTGATATCTCATGTCATCCCAGCTGAGATGGCACTGGTGGCATCAGCAGTAGTGCCTTCATTTCTAGCACCTCTTTTTCTCCTTCAGTGTCTTCTTTGCCTTTGGTCTGGTTTTCTCTCCTCCTCTCTCTTGCTTTTCTCCTTTATTTCATCTCCAGCTGCCAGTCTCATGCTCATCATTTTGTTTTTCTCTGCCCACTCCTTCACCTTTCATGGTCTTGTTTCTTGTCTCTTCTTTTCATCATTTCCACTTTCCCTTCCCCTTGTCCTGTATTTCTTTTTTTATTACCATTTTTCCTTGACTTTACTCGTTTTTCTCTTTCTTAGAATGTAACTCCATACTCATAATTCTTTTACCTCTGCTTCGCTTTGCCCTTGTCTTTCTCTTTCCTCCACTTCCTCCTTTCTTTATCTCCCCCCTCTCTTTCTCTCCTTCCTGTTTCTGAATTCCCCTTCCTGTCTTCACGTGGCCTGTCTTACTCTCTGCTCTGAATGCCCTCGTTCCTTCCCTCTTGTCCTGTCCCTGTGTTATCCAGAACACCCCTGCCTTTCTTTCTTCCTTTCCCTGAAAAGATTCTTGGTGAAGTGGATGTTGGGAGGGAGCAGTGGATCAGAAGGAGAGATGGCCAGCAGCCAGCCCTGGGGGATGGCTCTCCTATGACCCCCTGACCTCCCCTCCCCAATTTTTTACCCATTTTTCCTTTTCATAAAGTGCCTGCATTTGAGTGTTTGTTCTTTCTTCTTTTTTTTTCTTTCTTTTAAGGAAGCTTTGCTGACATTCTTCAAGAGGAATGATAAAAGACACATGGTATGAAAACTACAGAGGCTGAGAAAAACGCTGACTACCACAAAGGCCCAAGGATTAACCTTTATTATTATTTTCTCATTGCTATTATTATGATAAAATAATTAAAATAATTGAGTCACTTATTGAAGTCTTTTTTTTTTTTTTGCAGGGGAGTTCCAGGGATTAAACTCAGGGGCCCTTGACCACTGAGCCACATCCCCAGCCCTATTTTGCATTTTATTTACAGACAGGGTCTCACTGAGTTGCTTAAAAAAAAATTACACATTTTTTTTTCATCTTATTTGTAATTACCACTTTCCCAGACCTCTTTTTGGCACTTACTGTGTAATATTGAAAGCTTACAGATTGAAAGGGTGTGTCAACATATGTGAGAGTAAATTAGAGGGAAGTTGTGGAGGCACGGAGATTTAACCGGAATAATGTTCAAGAAATTCTGTCCTGCTCAAGAGAGAGCCAGAGTCATTCCTAATAAGAAAATTGATAAAGGTAAAGTGCTTTGCTTTTGCTGAGACTGGTTTTGAATTGAGATCCTCCTGCCTCAGCTTCCCAAGACCCTGGGATTACAGGCATGCCCCACTGTGCCCAGCTTATTGAAGTCTTACTATGTGCCAGATACATGTATCACTTAATTTATTTTTCCATAACATTCCTGTGAAGGAGGGACTATTAGGGTGTTCATTTTGCAGATGAGAACCTAGGTTTAGATGTCAGAATTGGCTTAAGATAATGGAGGTGGTACGTACATATCTGGGAAGACCACCTCCTTAATGTCACAGTGTGCTTATAGGATTTACAGGGGGTAGTTGGAACAGCATTATTTTTATGAAGCTTCTCATCCTTGTGGGGCATTATGGTACAGCCAACCTAGTTTAAATTCCGGCTCCACCAGTTACTAGTCATGAACCACACATGCATCGATATCTCATTTAAGTCCTCATTGTCACCTGTTGACTCAAGTATATTATCCCCATTTTATAAGTGAGGGACACAAAATTCAGAGGCAAGATTCTAAGTTTTGGAGGCAACTAATTCCAAAAATGTAAGTGTGAATACTAACTGACTCCAAAACGTAAATGTTATATATTACATCAATGTGGGTTTTAGGAATAAATAGACTAGTTAAGCAGAAAAGGCAGAGGAAATTCTCCACACATGGAGGAGGCAGATTGTAAGAGAATGGAGAAGATGTGAATGTGCTATTTACAAGAAATGAAGAGATTGACCTTCCTGGATTATTGTCTCTTAGAAGCTAGAGTGAGTTAATTATCTTTGCAATTGAAATGTTTGTGTATATGAAATGGAAGCATCTTTTCCTACAATTGTTATGTATTTTAAATTTTATATTGTTGGGAATGATAAATAATAAGTCAATAAGTGAAATAAAAGGTTATTATCAATATTTTGTCAAATGTTGTAACAAATAGGTATCTGAGTCTTGTCATTGACATGGGTATCATTTTCCTTCCTTCCCATTTTTTCTTTGATATTTTCCAAGTTTTTCTAGGAATAGTCATATATTTATATTTTATAATGAGAAAAAATATTTTTTAAAAATACTAATGCCAGTTTGACTTTATTAATATAATTGCTTTATTTGAAAAAGTATACTTGACCCTATATAAATATGAAACATTGATGCTAACATCTCTCTCTTCCTCCTAGTCAACTTTTGCCCTGACAAAATACTGGGATGAACTATGACTGACCAAAGACTGACTGTGATGAAAAGCACTTAATATTATGACATAATTCTTTGAAAAATTTGTAGCCACACACATGGTCACACATATACATATACAATTTTTTTTCATCTTAATTGCAATTACTACTTTCCCAGACCTCTTTTTGGCACTTACTGTGTAATATTGAAAGCTTACAGATTGAAAGGGTGGGTCAACATATGCGAGAGTAAATTAGAGGGAAAGTTGTGGAGGCACTGAGATTTAACCGGAATGTTCAAGAAATGCTGTCCTGCTCAAGAGAGAGCCAGAGTCATTCCTAATAAGGAAAATGATAAAGGTAAATTCACAGAGATAGAATTCAGCAAAACATGACAAATATGGTCTGAATGTAGCCAGAAGATTAACCAGATGGAATGGGTTGCAGACTTTAGGAAATAAATTTGGACTGTTATAGGATGTAGCCAATATCATCTAGTAGAGGATTTGAAGATCAGAGACAATCAGTTTACAAGGGACAGTTGAATTCTTGGGTTCTAAATACTCAATGTCTAGTTTCACTGTCTACTTGATTTGTTCAAAGCCAACTCAAGGTACTGACAAGGAGAAGTGGTCAAATGTCCCCATGGAGAGAGGAAGAGGACCGTGATCCATCCTTTTCTGGAGACACACAGCCTAAGGACTTTTATATTTATTTTTAACAAATACATTTTGAGTAACACTTAAATACCCAAAGAGCTTGGAATTGACCTACAAGTAAGTCATCCTTTAAAAAATAAATTCTATTTTTAAGCCCATTCCTTCTATCTACGCTCTGGCACAACTACTTGTGTTTCACAGTAAATCCTTTAATCTTTTTTAGCCTTAGGTTTTTTTATTTTAATCATTAAAATTTGAGTATTACTACTTGCCCCTTATTTCCCCCTTAGAGTGTTCTTCAGAAGACTTTATTATTTGAAGAGTATTAAAGTACATTTAAAACTGCAATATGTAGTCTAGAATTATAGGTAGTACTTTTATCACCTCATTAGATGGATGTAGCAGTGACTTCATTTTAAGCACACACAGTAGCAACCCTTAATGTAGGTCAGACTCTGCTCATGGGCTTTGAAATGTGATGGATGATGATGATGACGATAATAATGATGAAGTTGATACTTAATTTTTGTGTTCTGACCATTTTATATGGTCCAAAAAACTTCTTGTAGTACAGGTTAGGGGTGCAAGAGACAAATCTAAACAACCCACTGCAAACCTTGTGGCTTAATTTACATTCACATGAATGTTATTGGCTGAGCAAATCACGTGACCAAGCCCAAAGTCATGAGAGTGCAGAAGTATAATTGATCCTCCATGAACCATGACCAAGATCAGAAGGAAAGAAAATACTGATCCAGTAATATAATCAAGGAGCTCATCTGCAGCTGAAAAACTAAATCCTCCTTAGTGAAAGGCAGTATGGTTATTCCTACTGGAGAACATAAGAAAAATCTGAGGGGAAGGAAATGTTAATGGGTGAATACATCACCAATGGCTGGTACTCTTATTTCTAGGGCAGCTTTGTAAAGGATAAATCTGTGTAAGGATGGTCAGAGGAGGAAATTTACAAGTCGAGTATGTGTAACTGTACATTTTATAAGCCGGATGTATATTTCTATTTCTATTCATTATGTTAGTATGTGGAATGCAATTAAAACTCTGTCTAAGACAAAAATAGAGGTATGCGTGTTACAATAGTGAATGGTGACAATGGTGAGGGTGATATTAACATTGTGAAGAATACTTTCTTTGGGTATCTCTCTTCTCCTGATTTAACTCAACTGCAGTTTCACCAAGATAACAGAATTCTTACATCCTAGCAAAGGAAACAAGATCTTTTTCTGGGTTGCAGTTTCTATGACCAAGAGACAAAAAGTAATAACTTCTGGTAGTGCTGGACGATTTTAGTAATATAATTTTCTCTAAAAGATTAAAGATAAGTTACAAAGAGGTTTTGGAGATTTAATGAGAAATGTGCAAGAAATTTTGTTTCTCTTCCACCACATTCAGTTTTAACTGCCAAATAAATATTGTGGAGAATGGCTTCTACTTATAGGGACAAAGTTTGGGAGACAAGATGGTTCTTATAAACACAGGCAAAAAATATGGCTAAGAGTGATGGAGCCTTGGAAGAGTTTTCTGTGCACAGCAACATAATGGGAAATCTTTAAATTCACTTGTTCAAGTTGGGTAATAACAATCTCTGCAAATCTTATAAATAACCAAATTAGGTAGTCAGTACCCCAAAATATTAAACCAAATGTCTTTTCTCCTGAGAGGTCCCCATATAGCAAGAAAATAAAATATTTAATCAAGAATTAATTGACAAAGGACCTAATAGTGTCAGGGAAATAGATCTTGGAAGAGGTAGAAGTCTGTTCATAATGATGTTTCCTTTCTATTACTTAGCAGAGTGAACATAGATAACAATAATGTACTGTGTATTTCAAAACACCTAGAGGAAAGTATTGAATGTCTTCACCACAAAAAATAATGAATGTTTTGAGGAGCTAATAT